ATTTTGACTGTTTTTTCACACTTACTACACGTCTGAAGACGAGCTGGGGAACCAGTCTCGAAAATTTACGAAATAAAGTTTGTTAATTTTCCCAAAGGACTCATTCTTCTTCGAATTATGTTTCTTGGGATGCCCATCTTCCTATATATATATATATATATATATATATATATATAGAGTACCTGTGTTAACTCATGAATTGTCATGAATTAACACAGGTTAACGACTTAAACGCACAATCGTTAAACACTAGGCTCCCAAAGTCTGACCGCGGAAAATAAACGATGTGGCAAAGATATAAAGCAAAGTTTGGTTAAGAAAATATTATTTACTGAGATAATAATATATAATTTTCGACAAAAGTCACATTTTCTAGAAACGCCTATATTACAACCAAGTTAATAAAGGCTACGTATGAGGGCGTATAAAGGAGGAGGGCGCATAAAAGGTCAACAATAATTAAGGACAGAAACATATACAAAAAATTAATACTTTGTTGATTGTCCGTTTGAATTAATAACTGCAGAAAGTCTGTCAGACATAGACATGACGAGGTTATCTATGGTGTATTGTAAAATGTAATTATTGAGTATGAAATCCAATTTTCCTGCATTGACAGAGTCTTCTTAGCTTTGTGCCAATTTATTTTGATTATTCCAAAAAGATTTTCGATAGGATTCAAATCGGGACTGTTGGCCGGGATGAAAATGGTTTAAAGGCCGATGGCGGAGAGGGTGGTTGTTGTCTAAAATTTTAGATTATATTTGCAAGCGGCATCAAATTCGTACCTCTTTAGAGCGGTGGACAGGTGCATTGTCCTGCAAAATTACAGTATCCATTCGGCGCCGACTTATGCCGTTGTAGCCGAAAGCATCCTTTACAATTGCAATAAACACCTTGCTGTTGATGGTGTCGGATGTTGACCGCCAGACAGGCTGCTCACCGAATTTATTCGCCATCTTAACCATCATCCGCCGACAGTTCTTGAATGTTGCCGTCGGTGTAATGTGTTCTCTTGGGAAGTTCTTTCCACATATGACGGTTTGGAGCGATTTCATAGGCTTGTCTAAAAATAGAACCTCATCGCAGAAGAAAATGCTCTTCCAAAGTGACGATCTGTAAGCAATATAATTCTTAGCAAATAAAAGTCGTTCTATAATTAGTTTTCTACTTAAATATGGCTTAATCATGGCCTTCCGCCGCTGCAGTTCAAATTCCTGTATCCCTTTCCTAATGATGTTCATAGGAAACATCAACAGATGTTCCCGTTGAATGGTCTCAATGGGCATGTAATGCAACTTTTTTAATGTACGACGAATAAAATCGTCGTTTTGCTTACTTGTGGACCGTTTGGGTCCCCTTATCTTATTGCTAGGAACAGTTTTATCATTAATAATGCGCCACAGAGTGACCTTGCTAATATTGAAAATACTAGCTAACGACACATGCGGGATTCCCTCTGCCAAAAATTTTCGAATGCGCTGGAAGTCAACTTCGGATAAGTATTGTTTAGACATAGGTATCGTTTGGCGTGGCAGAGCAAAGTGACGGCATGTCGCGCGAACTCACTATATATTCGTTTACGACAAGCATTTTCAGTCTGGTAAAACAATCCCACTGATAAACTTTTTATTTCGGTATTTTGAAACATAAAACTTTACGAATTTGTAAAATAGAATTTTTAGACGAAGAATTGCACGTTATTTCCTGAACATAATAAGAAATAATTTGTTTGCATTTTCCTGATTTTCTTGATATTTAATTAAATTTTTTCTTATTGTTCGATATTCTATTGAAACATTTCGTCCTTTTATTAATCATCTTAAACAGATTAATAAGGTAACACAAAGAATTTCGATCCGAAAGCTTTAATAGCGTAGAAAACTGCTTGAATATCAGGAATCCTCCGATTTCGCAGAAATGCGGCCCGTTTTCTTTTAAATATACAGATCCGTATCAAAATTTCCTTCGGCAAACGGCCTTTTCGTCCTTATTTCAACTAAATAAACACAACAACACCAAAAATACTCTACATTTTCCACTCTTATTTTGACCTCGGCATTTCATGAGTTAGCACAGGTACTGTATAATGTTAGGGGCGCTCACCGATCGTTCTTACGGAACTCACTAGTTCTTTCGTGCCTTATGGATTCTCACTCGAGCCCAACCAGCAGCCGCACAGCGGCGCATGATACAGGCAGAATGATATTACCGACAAAGAAAAAGGAGACTTGAATGGCCATTTCTGGCTTATTAGCCGTCGTCAGCCAATCATACCCAACGCCGACGTGTGGAACACTTCGTCAGCCAGTCATGCTGGCTGGCGACGGCTAATAAGCCAGAAATGGCCATTCCAGTCCCCGTTGTCTTTGTCAGTAATATCATTCTGTCTATATATATACATATATAACATCATGCATTATTGCAAGAAACTGTACTGCTGATGGGCGTGTTACTACTTGGCAAATATATTGTATAAATGCTGCGTTCTCTGTGCACCCCTATCTCCCCATAATGCATCTACAGAAGACTGCCATGTCAGTTGATTTAAAATGTCACATCAATCAATTCCTGCAACTGAGCCGCCTTCCTAATAAATGCTTACTAAAACTTCCTATTTTGCCCTCACTGACAGGCTGTATACTGTTTTATTTTCAGAAAGTCTTGGTACAGTGTGAGAATTCTTCTATCGTACTCCAGACACTGCTAGTTGTCTTTAAACGAAAAAGTCGCGTGTAGACACCTTCTCGCTCGATGTAGGCTTAGAGACTTCATGAAAATAGCCTCAGTTAAGCAAACTGGAAATTGTAGTTGCAGGTACTTCTGGTGTCCTTAAGGACTATAATTCCAGCCTAGTGAAGCATCACAGAAGAGCAGGACTTGTGGTTCTGCAGTCCACAGCACCTACCTAATGTATGCATACGCTATTTTCCCGACGAATTCCCGTGTGGATACCTGGCGCCACCGCTGGACCGCCTGCCAAGGTTTCGCTTTAATCAAATATGCATGACCTGTAAACCGCGGCCAAACAGAATCTTGTCCAAACTGCCAAAAAGGCGCTTGCTCCCTGTCCGTGAATAATAAAAAAGATAACGGGATTTGCGTAGCCTCGTACTAAAGTTCCTCCACTATCAATATGCTTCCAAGTCGAAAGGGGCATTTTGAAGAGTTGTGGATATAATTCAGACTGATGGTAGAGCCGGAATTTATGAGGGACAAAGGGCACAAGTTTAGAAACCTAACGAATTTTCTCATATTGCATTTACTAGAAGACTTCTTTAAGTAGTCTTCCAGCCATGGTTGGCTAAGTATAGGGCCAGTTATTCACAAAGAGAATGCTGTGCATCCTACAGCCAGCTAGCTCATCGTCGTTGTTGGCTCCAATGAAAACCTTGGCAGAAGATTCCCCATGAACTTTTGTAATGTGTATGAAGAATGCTTTGCAAAAACCGACGATGCAGAGATCTACTTCTAAGGGTGTCTGATAGGAAGTCCGCGAACGTTTTTGAAGAATGGATTATTCGCACGTAGCCTGCTGCTAGATTACCGTGCTGGTGACCAGAAGCCGGGATGTATAATGCGACTCCTTCCCTTCGCATGGTTGTAAAGGTCAGCGAAGGATATAAACACAAAAACCCACGCACGGTGTGCGTGTGGCATTTGTTCGGGGTTAGTATACGAAAACGTTCCCTAAAAAAGCCTTCTAGTGTAACGGCCACATTCTGCCCTATTCGCTTACTCTGTCTATTAAAATGCGAATTTTTCCTCCCAGTGTTGCCTTAACGCTCATTATGGCGACGGCGTTTTTACTGACGTCAATACTGTACACGCAAACCTGCGGCAACCGGTTTAAATGCTCCAATATATATATATATATATATATATATATATATATGCATGTATTGGGAGTGGGAATACATTTGCGCTGTGTTTATGGAATAAAAGAACGTTTATATAAGAACAAATGTCTTATTCATTTCTTTCAACATAGTCTTCTTTGGAAAT